GAAGGACCAGATACCCTATAGAATCATTCTATCACCCTATTAGAGACCTGAAGGACCAGATACCCTATAGAATCATTCTATCACCCTATTAGAGACCTGAAGGACCAGATACCCTATAGAATCATTCTATCAGCCTTTTAAAGATTGGCTGTCTCACCTTTAACCTCTGGAGGGGAGTGGCAGCCTAGTTGTTACGGCATAGAACTTAGAATCCTGAGGTTCTGAGTTGGAGCCCAACTTCACAGACTGCCACAGTGGGTCCCTGACCAAGACCCTTAACCCCACGCTGCTCCCCAAAGGGATGGGTTAAATGCAGAGTTCCGCTCTGTACTTGTGACGGTGGAAGGACAATAAAAAGCTGAGAAAAACCCCAAACCTTTAAAGACCTGCACCGTTTAGCGCTCTGCTCTGACTGTCTGAGGCTCCATGTTTTCACGCAGATTAAAGGCCGTTTTCTTTTTGCAGGATTATTTCCTCAACATGAGTCCAATGTGGTACCAGAGCCTGATCAAAGTCCTGTTGACCCGATTCCCTCAGAGCTGCAGACACTTTGATGATAACGGCGTCCAGTATCTGGTGAGTATTTGCTAAATGGTGGTGCTGGTTCCTCTGATGACATCAGGGTGGAAGCAGTTAGGCTGGTTGATCTTCAGGCTAATCTAGATCATGTCTGGAATCTTTTCAAAGGCGGTTCTGAACCAGAAGTTCACAGACTGCTTTGTGTTGGTCTTCCTGGACATCCAAGCAGGAAAAACTGTAAGTAGATCCAGTAATCGGACCTTTCCACCGGTTCTCTGCTTCTCATGGCTTGTTTTCTTCCCCTCAGAGCCTGAAGGTTGTTTTCCGAGAGCCGCTGCCGTCTCAGCCTCAGGCCAGCAGCAGTCCTCCTCCTCAGCTGGTGTCCATGTACCACCACCTGGAGTCCGTCATCAACACGGCCTGCTACAACCTGTGGACTGGACTGCTGTAGAGCTGAGCCCAGCCGTGCCGCTCAGGTTCACCCATGACTGATTGACCAGGGGGCGCTTGGAGTGAGCTGAGGTGTTCCAGGTTTGATGGTCCGACTTCCAGCTCTGCTGCAGTGCCTTGCTCTGCTGGTTCTGTTCTGAAGGAAACCGGCTCTACATGACGGTGGTGTTAGGAGGTCTGCAGGAGCCAACAGCAGCTCCAGGTTATGGACGTCCTGTTTGCCGCTTATCCCGATGGCTGGAACCATGAAGGGACGGCTTGTTTCTGAGGAGGCTCACAGTCCGCCTGAGTCTGAGAATGGATCAGAACCAGGTCTGTCCTGAGAACCAGACTCTGGGCCAAATGCTGCACTAATGGAATCCCTGTGTAAATAAGCTAAACTTTCTACCTAATTCTGATGAACTGAGTGCATCAGGAGGCTGAATAAAGTGGGTCTGAAGTGTGCAGAAACCTTTGGTCGCTTCTTGTTTCTGCTCCAGAGAAAAGGTGGTTTAATGTGATGCTGTTATAGAAATGAACTCCAAACCTTCAGGTGAATATTGCTTCCCATGAAATGCTAGAAAATATGTGAAATTAAAAACAGGCTCAAGGTCCCGGAAAGTTTTTAAAACTGACACCCATGAAAGCCTTGAAAGTTTTGGGGGGCGGTGTGATTCTCGTGGTCCTGTCCTGGTTATGGTTTCCTGTGTGTCGTTAGCATGTGACCGCATGGCTGCACATCTGAGAGACGGTTTAAGGACCCAAAACGCAAACATCTTGGCTTTTTTCCAGAGACACTGTGGGTTCCTAAGTAGTTTGTTCTTCCTTGGATTTCCAAAAATGTTTAAATCAATCCACTGGACTTTGTTTCCAAGTTTGAAGACGTTTCTCTTTCATCCAGGAAGCGTTTTCAATTCAAAATGTCAGAAATAGCGTTTAGTTCCAGGTTTTATCCAGCAGCCCAACAAAGCCTGGTTT